ATATATATATATATACATACACATACATACATAAACTAACAAATACCTTTTTTATTTTCTTATCCCGTGGCTTAAATAAAAAAAAAAAGTAGAATTGTGATATGTAAAGTCAGAATTTTGAGAAAAAGTCAAAATTTCAAGATGATGTCTCAATTGTGAGAGGAACTTACAACTGCGAGAGAAAAAACAATCAGAAATGCAAGATAAAAAGATACTTTTTTTGCGTAAAACAGAATTTTCAATTAAAAAAAAGTTGGTTTAGAGCAGTGATGGGCAAACTTGGCCCTTCCAGGCCACTTTCCTGCAGAGATTTGATCCAACCCTGATAAAACTCACCTGCCTGTAGCCTTCTAGTAGTCTTGAAGACAATGATTAGCTGGTTCAGGTGTGTTTGATTAGGGTTGGAGCTAAACTCTGAAGGAAAGTGGCCTGGAAGGGCCAAGTTTGCCCACCCCTGGTTTAGAGAGGAGTCACATTTAAAATGGAAATTATTAATGGCAATTATGACAAAGACATTTTAATAATTTGGAATAACATAAACCAAGGAATTGCTCAAAATAAGACCATGAATGTTTTTAAGAGTCAATTTTGAGATAAACATAGCACAGAAAATGTCATTGCAATAGTACAGAAGATGCATGTATTTATTTCAAGGTCAGTGTATTGGAAAGTGGAATTTTGCAGCTATCTTGTTATACAAACTATGTATTTTGCATTTTGCTCTGTGCAAATATTGTGACACGTTACCTGGAAAAGAAAAGATAAACAGTATGATAATGTTGAGCAACTCAAACATTTGTCTGCGTACATTTGCATTTATTTGTCTATGTGTGAAAGGGCTTCCATAGCAAGTGCTCTTAATGTTTTGTGTTGGTTTGACAGAGGACGTCACCATGGTCATCTGTCCTGGCATTGGGAACCACAGTGAAAAGCACTACATCCGCACGTTTGTGGACCATTCGCAGAAGCAGGGCTACCGCTGTGCTGTGCTCAATCACCTCGGGGCCTTGCCGAACATTGAGCTTACCTCTCCTCGCATGTTCACCTATGGTACGAGACGTGTATAGATTGAGTTTATTCAGGAAACTTCATATTTCTAAAGGGATACAGTGAATGAATTGGGAACTTTTCAGTTTATTGAATAAAGCAATAATCCATGCGAGCATGTGTCTTTTTATTTTCATGAACTTTTCATTATCTTTATCGAAAAGAATTGAAAATTTTTATGTAAATTTTAACTTAATTGTGTTTGGACATTGTGTAAATAATATGTTTAATCTAAACGTTGTTTGGCCTTCCTAATTCCACCTTTGCAATCATGAAGCCATACATTTACTGTCTATACATCGATTTTATTTTATTTATAATATTTTCTTTTTCAGTTTAGTTTTTATGTTATCAGATGCCATTTTATTTTGGTTTATCAGGTGTTATTTTATATTTGATCAGATTTAATTTTCTGTCAGATTTTGATAGAATGATAATTTGTAGATATAAATATTCATTTTATAATGCTGAACTAGTCACTTTTGGTGACTAGTCAACTTCATGTTCTGTTCTAATGTTTTGCTTTTTTTGTTTCTCTCCACAGGTTGTACATGGGAGTTTGCAGCAATGGTGGGCTTCATCAAAAAGACATACCCCCAGACCAAACTTATTGTCGTGGGCTTCAGTCTGGGGGGAAATATTGTGTGCAAGTTCCTGGGAGAGAACCGAACCAACCAGGAGCGGGTTCTGTGCTGTGTGAGTGTGTGCCAGGGCTACAGTGCACTAAGGTGAGCCACTCTGTTCCCAGACAGAAGCTACATAATACCTGATGTTGCTCTAGAGGGAATGGGACAGGGATGCATGAAGCCATTGGAGTACTGCCCAGATAAAAATGCTGCCAGCTTGCTTTGGGTACAAGATGGACCATTTTATCACTGCTGCCAGTGGACTCCGACTAAACTCGAGATAAGAACTGACAGTGTGTACATTGTAGTTGGTGATTTAAACTGCACAGATGGTCTCAGTATTGTGTCCACCTGCTTCCTCCGCTTGACATTTGCATGTTGCATGAAACTTGTGCAAAGTAAACACACTCTGTTTGTACATTTGTATAAGCATATCTCTGTTAGCTAAAGTAGTGCTTACCTAATGGTACGGCATAGACACAGTGTGCGAATTTCTAGGGCATGTTCGAATCCTCCCAAAGGAAGTCAAAAGTGTTAAACACCTTTATTTCAGCACATTATATTTTGACATCTGGCTACAAAAATTCAACAGTAGTGAACTCTTTGTAATAAGCATTCAATATTGGTCAGTATGTAAACCAAAGCCAAAGAACTGTTGTTATTTATTAGTTTACTATAGATAAGTTCTTGAGATATGTATATCTAATTTGACATTTGGCTTACTATGCTAGAGCCAAAAAAAGAGATTGCATGCATACTTTGCACACTGGCTGTAAGGATGTTGACATGTCAATGTTAAAGAGCACCATAGCAACAGCTCTAACAACTAAACATGGAACAAACTCACATCGCTGTCAGTGAATAAGCATGTGATGTGGGTTTCAGTGCAGAAGCAGCTCTGGAATGCAGTGGATGTGTTTGGGCTTCAGTAAATCTAAAGCCACACCTTTGCTGTCTGTGCTGTTTGCCAGTGGCTCTGCTGGGGTTTTGTGAAGCACACTTGGCACTGCCGTCAGTATGTTGCCAAACAGCCGAGCTCTGCCTTCAGACAGGATTATTAAATCTATAAAGCCTCTGCTAATCTGCTCTGCCTGATTATCTGACAGATTGTTATATTCAAGATCCCTTTTAATGCACCTTATGAATTTAGCTGGAATTGATATTAAAGAGCTCATGCATATAATTTTTTATATTTTTGATATTCTTTGTTTAATTTTACTGTATGTTAAAAGCGTACATTTTATTAAATTTTTTCATGCCCATTTTCTCTGATATATATATCACACACACAGTCATATAAATAAAAGTCCACACAGTCATATATTTAAAAAAATATTTTAATATTTTAATATATTTACGGTTTAAATTGTATTTATATCTTAAAATTTATTGTCCGCTTTTTATTTACTTTTATGACAAATGTTTGAAAGTTTTTATAAATTACATAAATATATATAAAATGTTATCATTATTAATATATACACACACACACACACACACACA